CCAGTACCTCGAGCGTGCCCAGTACATTGAGCGTGCCCAGTACATCGCGCGTGCCCAGTACATCCAGTGTGCCCAGTACATCAAGTGTGCCCAGTACATCCAGTGTGCCCAGTACCTCGAGCGTGCCCAGTACATCCAATGTGGAGAGTACCTCGAGCACGCCCAGTACCTCGAGCACGCCCAGTACATCCAGTGTGCCCAGTACCTCGAGCGTGCCCAGTACATTGAGCGTGCCCAGTACCTCGAGTGTGCCCAGTACCTCGAGCGTGCCCAGTACATCCAGCGTGCCCAGTACCTCGAGCGTGCCCAGTACATCCAGCGTGCCCAGTACATCGAGCATGCCCAGTACATCCACTGTGCCCAGTACATCGAGTGTGCCCAGTACATCGAGCATGCCCAGTACATCCAGTGTGCCTGTGCCCAGTACATCGAGTGTGCCCAGTACATCCACTGTGCCCAGTACCTCGAGCGTGCCCAGTACATCCAATGTGGAGAGTACCTCGAGCGTGCCCAGTACATCCAATGTGGAGAGTACCTCGAGCGTGCCCAGTACATCAAGCGTGCCCAGTACATCAAGCATGCCCAGTACATCCAGTGTGCCCAGTACATCCAGTGTGCCCAGTACCTCGAGCGTGCCCAGTACATCGAGTGTGCCCAGTACATCGAGTGTGCCTGTGCCCAGTACATCGAGCGTGCTCAGTACATCCAGTGTGCCCAGTACCTCGAGCGTACCCAGTACATCCAGTGTGCCCAGTACATCCAGTGTGCCCAGTACCTCGAGCGTGCCCAATACATCGAGTGTGCCCAATACATCGAGCGTGTCCAGTACATCGAGCGTGCCCAGTACATCAAGCGTGCCCAGTACATCGAGTGTGCCCAGTACATCCAGTGTGCCCAGTAACTCGAGCGTACCCAGTACATCTAGTGTGCCCAGTACATCGAGTGTGCCCAGTACATCCAGTGTGCCCAGTACCTCGAGCGTGCCCAGTACATCAAGCATGCCCAGTACATCAAGCGTGCCCAGTACATCCAGTGTGCCCAGTACCTCAAGCGTGCCCAGTACATCCAGTGTGCCCAGTACATCCAGTGTGCCCAGTACATCGAGCGTGCCCAGTACCTCGAGTGTGCCCAGTAC